AACAATCCGCATTAACATGCTGACACATAAGTGCTCAGTAAAAGTTAGTTACTATTTTATTATTAGAAAAATGGTGACCTCCATATTTCATTCAAAAGAAACAAAATAAAAAATGAACATTCAAAAACTGAGACTGAAGGCTCAGGCCTATAATCCCAGCACCCTGAGGTAGAGGCAAGAGAATGAGAGGTTTGAGGTCATCCTGGTCATGTGTTGAGTCCCAGGCCAGCCTGGGAGAAATGAGACCCCATCTGAAAGGGAAAGAAAGGACAGGCAAAGGAAGGGAAGGAAGGAAAAAGCATTCATTCAAAACTGGAGCTAGCAGTTAAGAGGATCTCAGTGCTATGCAGTTTACACAAAGTCACATAGCTTAAATGTTAAGTTTTGACCCAGATCAGTCTGATAGCAGAAGCTGTTTTTTTACTATACTATGTAATGCTTCCAAATATGAAAAAAGGGGGACCAGCTCCCTGCCCCTTCTGCCATCTTTCATTCAGGAAGACTGCATGCTGGGAGAGCTGGTTCTGCTGCAGGGTCATCTTAGGTTCAGGGAGAGGAGACCCTCATCTGGACACTGGCTGGGGTGGTGATCCCAACTGTTCCTTCTTTCCCGCATTAATGGCTCTCACCCCATGGGAAGCCTGGCAAGCTTGACCCTTAGAGTGTAAAGAGTTATTAAAATAAGGAATCCTCCAGCCGGGCATGGTGGAGCATGCCTTTTGTCCCAGCACTTGGGAGGCAGATCTCTGTGAGTTTGGGGCCAGCCTGGTCTACACAGTGAGTTCCAGGTCAGCTGGGGTTAAAGACCTTGTCTCAAAAAGACCAAATTAAAAAAAAAAGTAATCCTCCTCAGTTCTGCCAAGGGTTTCTCAAAAGCTCAAGTTGGTTCTTGGAGGGTAATAACCATCTTGACATGTCACAATGAGCATGAAGCTTGTAACGTGATTTTACTAAGATGTATTCAGCATCTTGTGAGGCAGGGGGATCAGAGTTTTACAGGTAGGAAATTGGCCTAAAGAGATGAAATGTTGTATCTGAGACGCCACACCTAACATGCCAGAGGCAGGATTGAAATCTAGCTCTTGCTGGCTACACTGGTTTTCCCAATATGTGATGCTTGTCTCTGTCTACACGGCTTCCTCCATCTCATGCCCAAGACCCTCTAATTTTTCCTTTTGTTCCCCCTGAAAAGGCTCTGCTATGAGTCATGTGCAGTTGAATGTATTGTTCAAGTTGGCAACAACTTATCCCGAGATCATTTGTACCGAAGCCACCAGTGGTATGCTAGATTTGGCTTATACTGGCCAGTGAGAGCAGGCTGCTAAATTTCCAAGAATTTGTGATCCAGCAGAAATCTCACTGTTAAATGAAATGGTCACAAGGTAATTATTTTTTTGAAATGAAATCTCATATATCCTAGACTAGCCTTAAACTTACCACATAGCTGAGAATGACCTTGAACTTCTGATCCACCTGCTTCCACCTCCTGAGTGCAGGGACTGCAATTGTGCGGGGCTAGGGATGGAACCCAGGGCTTCATACATGCTAGGCAAGCACTCGCCCAGCTGTGCTAAGTCTCAACCCCGTGAGGGAATTATTTATAACAGAAAAATCATCGAACACTACGAACGAGGCCACCAAGACTCCCCTCCCCTCTGCCATTCAAGTCACTGTGCCACATTTTACTAACATGCCACCAGGCCCTTATCATTGTCTTCCTCTGCTATGGAATCACAGGCACTGGAGAACACCTCCCCCCAAACTGGCCGACACTGGAAGACTTTGAAACCTTGTATTTGCACATCGCCATCTGTGAGTGCTCCCAGTTTTTCCGACCCACTGCTTCAGTAGGATGAGGGAGATTCCTGGACCCCAGAACCACTTGCACAGCACAGTTCAAGGCGATGGGCATAGGACCCCCCCAAATTACATTCATGTTCAAAAGAAGCTTGTTTCATTCACGAGTGTGACTCGGTGGGCATGGATATGCACAGTCAGACTCAACACTTGGTTTGCAAAATTACAGAATTTGTTCTTGAGTATTTTTCACATGGTGTAACAAACTGAAAGAAGATTAGAACCTTAAGGGATTTTAATTTTACAAATGAAGAAAGAGAAAAAGAAGCCGTGAGCCTAAGAGAAGTGACATAGGCGTGTGTAGTCATGAGGGGTCTGTATCTCCCCACAAAGTCACATTTAGCTACAAGATAAGAGTCGAGGGTGCTGCTCTTTGCTTGGCTTCAAGGATCCTTCACTGAAGCATTTCCTATCTCTTGAAGATGAATATCTCGGGCCGCCCTACCCATTCCTTCAGAGATAGGCGCATGACGCAAATAATGGTTAATGTTTACTGGGTTCTGACTGGATGACAGTATGTTCTGTCTTAACTTGAACTACATGAAGTTGCCAATATCTATGACTTTTTAAAAACATCTGTCAAATGATGATTTCAAATATCTCAACTCACATATATCATCTGTGTCTCTGTCATCTTATGAAATGAGAGCTGCCATTACATCCACCTCGCAGATGGGAAGACTGAAGCTTTTATTGAAAAACCAAAAAGGTTCTCCACACAAGGGTAATTTATTTATTTGTAAGTGAAACATAGTTTTGTGTCCACTGATGTCTGTAAGCAATGTTAGGGCATCTCAGTGACCTTGGATAACTTTCTTTTTAAAAAAATATTTTATTCATTATTTTTATTTTATTTTATGTGTACTGCTTGCATGTGTGTCAGCGCACCCATGCCATTCATGCCCATGGATGTCAGAAGAGAATGTCAGATTCCCCTGGAACTGGAATTATGGATGGTTGTTAGCCTCTGTGCTGGTTCTGGGACTTGAACCTGGGTCCTCTGCAAGAGCAGCCAGTGCTCTTAACTTCTGAGCCATCTCTCTAGCCCTCAGACCTTGGATAACTTTCTGACTAGTAAATTTCTGTAATGCTTAAAGAAAAGCTTAAATATGCGATTTATGAATGTAAGTCATTGGTATTAGGAAACAGAGAATTGATGTTTGTACATGTAAACAGCAAATACAATAGTGAAGGCTACAGAAGGAATTATTTGCTATGGAATTTTTCTTTAGGAAAAAAAATTTTTTTGAGAGTCTTGCTTTGTAGTCCAGGCTGTCTTTGAACTTATAGTGATCCTCCTGCCTCAGTCTCCCTCGTGCTGGGATTACAAGCATGCATCACCATGCCCAGCTTGTCCTAGAATTTTTTCATGATTATCGCGAAGTAAAGCTGGGTGTGGTGGTACTTGCCTGTAATTGCTGTGCTCCCGAGGCTGAGGTTGGAGGATTTCAAATTCCAGGACAGCTTGGGGCATATAGTCAGACACTGTCTCAAGAAAAAAAATTAAAAAATAACATTGTCTACATACTAGTTATTAGTTATATTCAAAGAGGTTCTGAATCAGGACCATTTGCTGTGTGATAATTTGTGAAAAATGTACTGAATTTACTACCAAACAGCTCACAAACAGGCATGACCACTGCTAAGCAAATAAGATGGCACTACATTGTGTCAGGAAAACAAACTCACAAAAAGTGTAAAATGTGCTTCGAGAAAAAAATACCTAAAGGTGCATAACTATGTTTCATTATGAAACATGAAACTCACATGTTCTATTCACACACAAAAAATAGATTTTGATGGTATGAGATTTATTAGGGTGATATGATGACTCCCTCAGGTTCAAAACTTAGCTTGTGACCACCTACCAATGGGGTCTTACACAAAAGTAATTCCATATATTTTCAGATCAACCAGTAAATTATTAGTGAGAAACTGCAAAAGACAAGCAATTCTCTTCACTGTTAAAGTAGAGGCAACATTATTTTACCTACACAACCAGGTGGCTTGCTCCAGGTTCAAATCCTGGCTTTCCTCGGATACCCCTCACCTCCATCTTCTAGTCAGACCCCAACAAGGAACAGGACTACCTCTGTCTCAGTGACCACTGAGCTCTGAATATCACGTCCCTTTCAGTAAAACCTAATTGCTCATCTCTGTCCTGCTCTCTAATGATGTAAAAATAATACAATGATACGACAAAATATCAAACACAGTTTGAAAAATAGCCAACAAGGACTAACCAAGAGCCACTGTCTTCAAACAAAGGATTCTCAAGGAAGGAAGGGAACTTGGGGGTGATTTCTAGTCTCTTTAATTTTATAAAGAAAAAGAATCTGATGAAGAAGGGCATTTGCCCAGGCTCACTCACTCAGTGGGAAGCAGAGGGCTCTCTTGACTCCTATCCAGGGCATTTTCTGCCAAACTACATTGACATGTATTCACTTTTCTTTTACCACTACTGTTGAACAATATGGGAATGTCTTTAGATACTCTAGCTGAGCAACTATACTCTAGGGAGGAACCCTGGTTTGTTTGAAGACACTTGGTGCTCCATACCCCTGGTCTCCTGAGGTGTTTTCTGCTGGACAAAGAGGGTTGCCAAGCGCCTTGCAACTTTCAAACTACTACATGCCTGGGAGTATGATCTAAGACTTCAGATATGTGATGACCATTGAGACAAGTAGAGTTCAAGTCATGACAGTGTTGCAAAGCACCCCCTTCCCATTATAAGAACCATTTCTTTTGTAAAATGGGGAAATTGGGCTAGATTGTCCCTTAAGTCCTACTGAACAGTCACTAATATTTGCCTTTCCTAAGGTCCCTAAACATCATATACTTCATATGAATTCAATTTCTGTCTGGTCACAATAGTTGCCACATAAAATATTATTGTAACTTAAAAATTAAACCTAACTTTATGGAGAAGAAAGCTGATGAATGGTAAACCCACAGATTTTAGAGTTGACATCCGACTCTTGGTTCCCTCGACATTTGCTCTGACTGCTAAGGCTGTACCTTGTGGTTGCTAAAGTCAGCTTGCTTGTGTTCCAAGTGTTCTAGTTTATTCCATGTATGTCTTTTAGAGTCAGAACAGCCCAAGTACAAAAACTAAACAGAGATGAAAGGAAGTGCTCACATACCCCATGGCGATCCTCAAAGTAAGCCAGGCTAGCTTTCGTTAAAACAAAGAAGCGGACTTTAAAATTCGAGGGAGAAGTCCTTCTCTTCTGTTGGGATTTCTTGATCAGCTGTTCTTCCAGGAGGATGAAGTTGTTCATGATTCAGTTCTTAAAAAGTGATGCGTCTTGGGCATCACCCCTTAGCACAGCCAGAGGAGAGAAACAGCTTAGGAATGCAACAGGAGGCAGTTGCTCTTCAGAGAGCTAGTTGTTCAAAGGCAACTTGCCTCAACGTTATCTTTCTATCAACATCAACCAGACTCACCGCTGGGCTCCTCCTCTGATGTCAAAGGCCATGACCACATCCTTTCAAAATTCACCATGTTAAAAGGCACATGTGAAAATATACATGCCCTTTGTTAGATGATTTGGAATGAAGTTTGAAGAAATTTAGAATTATACAAAGTATTCAGTTTTACTTTGTATTAGCTCCTGGTTTAGCTTATATAGTAGTTAAGACATATAGCAACAGGGTAAGAATGGGAGTCCTGGGATCAGCAGAGCATGGCTCGTGAACAAATGTCCCTTTGCCGTTTTCATGGATTGCCACAAAGAGTGGCACAAAGTGCCATGAATTTACCCTAAAATTCTCTAGCTTAGAAGTCTGAAATGGTTCTCACGGTGTGAAAGTCATGGTGGCACAGGGCTGTGATCCTTTCTGGCATTTCTGGTGAGACTCTGTCTCTGTGATCACCCCTCCTTCTGAAGGCCACACGCATGTTGCCTGGGTCTTGTCTTTCTTCCTCCATCTTTGAAGCCAACAGCTGCAGGCTGAGTCCTGCTCATCCTGGTATTGTTGAAACCTCCTCCTCTTCCCTTTGCCATGTTCAAGGATCCTTAGACTCTCACTGGGCCCACCACATCTCAGTCACCTAGGCTGGGCCTCCTATGCTAAGGTCAGCAGACAGACAATGTAATTCCATTTCCTCCCTTAATTCCCCTTCTGCCACTCAACCTCATACAGTCACAGATTCTGGTGTCAGGACATGGAAGATTTTAGGCAGGGCTGTTATTCTACCTACCACAGTTTAACTCCAGTTCTACCACCTTAAAAATCGCCAATGGCAGGTGCTGGAGAGATGGCTCAGTGGTTAAGAACACTGGTTGTTCTCGAAGAAGACCCAGGTTCAAATCCCAGCACCCACATGGCAGCTAACAACTGTCCGTAACTCCAGTTCCAGGGGATCCGACAGCCTCTTTTGTCCTCCGCGGGCATTGCACGACACGGGTGCACTTACCTACATGCAGGCAATACACGCATACACATAAAATTAAAATTAAAAATTAAAACAAACAAACAAAAATCAAATTGCCAATGGCTCGGGACTTCAGTTTCTTCGCCTGTGAAGCAACAAGGTCTTATATGAGGTACTGCAGGCCTCCTTTTTAGCTCTTCCGTCAATCTCACATCATTCCTGGCTTTAAGGATGTCACCCCAGCCTTCTGTCTGTCCCTGTCCCCAGCCCCTGTGTACACCACTCTACACATGCTGCTCCTGTGTCTGAAAACTTCTCCTTGTCTTTCTTTTCTGGTTAACTCTTAAGTGCTACTGCCACTTCCTCTGGGAAGGCTTCCTGGCTTTCCAAAGTTAACTGTACACACATGACACCTTCCATTTTTTTTATCTGTCCATTAGGACCCTCACACGGAGGTAGTTTGCACAAAAACCAAACTATCTTCTTGTGAGGGTCCTTTGGGAACTGAATCTCATCTGCTCTGTGGATAGCAAACACTAGTTACCAGTCTCATCTTAGAATCAGGCCATGGTTGAGAAGTAGTACTTCTGTGAGGCTTGTTTCAACTAGGAAGTTAATAACAAGACAGCCCAGCTCAAGCAGAGATGGCACAGAATGGAAAAGGACGAGACAAAGTGACCACTGTGGCTATATGGGGGGGGGGCACAGTTCATGGTTTGTTTTCAGATATAAATGGTCAGACTACAGCTCATTTCACAACATATTGGATACTTCTGGATAATCAAGACAATGAGAAGGGAGGGATGTTCTGAGATTTTTAAGAGAAATTAAAATACGATGTACAAAATAGGAAGTTTTATCTTTTAAACATGGGTTGCAGCAAGGATTGCTGTTTTTCTTTTCTCCCCCTTCTTCCACAGTAACTAGTCTGCTGAAGGTTTTCTGGATATCTGGTCAACCTGAATAAGGACTACATTCTTTAAACCTCACCTATAACTTGGTATAATCATGCAACTATTTTCTGACCAAAACAATGTAGCAGAAATGGAAGCATCATAGCAGGGTATGGTGGTGTATACTTGTAAGCCCAGAGCTCAGGAGGCTTCTATGGCAGATGCAAGTATGGAGTGGGACACTGTCTCAAGAAAAGAAGGGAGATCCCTTAATGGGGATCTTCCCATCTTCCCTTCATTTCTCCTGTGGTGCTGCTGTGGTGGTTGGAGCTGGAAGAACCATTTTATACTCTATGAGATGGTAACTGCATGTTGAGGACAGTGGAGACATGATACAGAGCCTGGGTTGTAGTGCTCGTGATCACTCATGCCAGCGTGGGTGACATTTTTCAAATTTGATCTCAGCCAAAGGCTGGGAAGCAATAGCCTTTTTGAACATAAAAAGAAATACACTATTGATATTTTCTAGGGCCCCATTAGTCTCTGGTTTCTGTTACTGGGAGTTTATCAGACTCTAATACATATACTGCCCTCTCGTCTATGCTGTGAAATCCTTTGGAAAGGGTAGATTTTCAAAAATTTTAAAACATTTATGAGTACGAGTGTTTTGTCTGTGTGTGTTAAGTATACGTGCACATGCACTATCCACAGAAGCCAGAAGAGGGCGTTGGATCCCTTGGAACTGGAGTTACAGATGGCTGTTAGCTGCTATGTGGGTGCTGGGAACTGAACCCCAGTCCTCTGCAAGAGCAGCCAGTGCTCTTAACCACTGAGCCATCCCTCCAGACCTTGGAAAGGGTAGATTTGTACCCGACTGGTTCAGACATGATGACTTACAGACATCATGAAGTATTTTTACCTAGGAAAGCAAACTATGAGGAGCTACTGTAATGTCGAGAGCCTTCTATTTGCCAAGTATTTGTGTACTACAATAAAAATAATTGTATTTTCAATCCCACAGAGCACTCAGAACCACTTACTGGGACTAGTCATTGCCCATTTTTAAGTATAACTGCCAGTATTTTCTCCATCATGTTAACAGTCTGTTTTTAGTTTTGTTTACATAGTTCAGTTCACAGGAGACAAATTCAAAAGACTCCTACTTGTGGCTCAAGCCTGTAATCAGCACTGGGATACACAGGGATACCCCATTGCAAAGAAAAGTCAACAAAAACAAAAAGGAAGGCTGGAGCGAGGGGGCACTGGTTAAGAGTACTTGCTGAATAACCATGGGACCTGAGTTCAGATCCCAGCGACCACATAACAAGTAAGGCATGGTTTTGTGCATACCTGTAACCTCAGTTCTGGGGATGGGGGCAGAGACAGGAAGTTTGCTGGGGCTTGTTGGCTGCTAGCCTGACTGAAAAACATGAGCTCCAGGTTCAGGGAGAGATCTTGATTCAAAGGTAGAGGGTCACAGAAGAGGACACCAAAGTCTTCCTCTGGCCTCTGCATGTGCACACACACACACACACACACACACACACATGCACACACACACACACGCGCGCACACACAGGCATGCACACACACACATACACACAAATAAAAATTTAAAAACCAATAATACAAAAGATCTCCCACTTGCCAAATATAAAAAAATCTGAACACCGAAAGGAAAGATAACTGCAATGGACTGAGTAAAAATACTAAAATCATGAATTTATAAGAAAACTGAAAAAGTATCCATTCCACTGATCACTTTTGGGGGTATGGTGAATAATCAATTTACTATTCTGAAAACTGGAAACAGAAAAGAAAATATGTCTTCCTCCTTGTTCATGAAGGATTACATTTCATTTAGTCATTAAATTCTTAATGACATAATGTTCCTTCAAGAAGGCAGCAGGTGAAGAGGAACGTCAGAGCACTGCTCTGTTGCAATCCTCAGAGCAATACACCTAGCGGTGACCCTCAGTGGCCATTCAGCTGACCATGTGAAAAGTCAACAGGAAAATGTACAGTCAGTAAGAGGCTGACAGCACTGCACCAGGCTGACCCAGCTTCACATCACAAAAACGGACAAGCAGACGCCGCCTGGCTCCTGTGGTGATGCACTAGGAAGCACACAAACCATCCACGCAGAACTCCTGCTGAGAGAGAAAAAGACACAGTAATCTGGTCAGCGCTCTAGATCTAAATCTGAGCTGCCAGGAAGTGCAAGAGACGGAGGAACATGGCAAAGAGCAGGAAGAGCTATAACTGGCCAAGTCCAGACTATACCAAACCTTAAGAACAAATGGCCCAGTATCCACAACAAATAAACTGCTGGAAAGAGAACTTAGGAGATATTTCCAACATGGGAGGATTTTGGATTCAGAGCCAAACACACCAACTGTCTAAGGATATTACAGGACATCTGGGGGCATTTGAATACAGACTAGGTATTTGATGACACCGAGAGAGAACAGAGAGGCTGTTAGATCCCCTGGAACTGAAGTTATAGACAGTTGTTAGCTGCCCCGTGGGTACTGGGATTCCAACCTGGTCATCTGCAAGAGTAGCCAGAGCTCTTAACCACTGACCTATCTCTCCAGACCTTCTATTATTAAATTTTAAGGTGTGCTGATAACACTGTTGTCCTGGTAAAGGAGTATTTTTTACAGAAGTATACTAAATGATCGATGATATGATCAAACTTCTGAGATCTGCTTTAGTATAACCAGTGGGGGCCAGGGTAAGGCAACAGAGGAGGAGGGAGCAGTGTTTCTTAGTGGACAATTGCTCTAGCTAGGTGATTGGTACATTGGGAAGGCGGGTAGATAGTACCGTATTTTCCTTGCATTGGTATCTGTTTTAAAATTTCCACCATGAGCAGTAGAAGAGCCAGACAGGTTCAGAGTGATCACCAAAACTCTAAGCACAGAAGCATGGGGCCGGAGAGCTGGCTCAGCAGTTAAGAGAGTGGACTTCTCTTGCAGAGGTTCTGAGTTGAGTGACCAGCTCACAA